TGAACTTCAGAGCCTAGTGAAATAAACAGTTAGCTCCAATACTAACACTGAGACCAAATGGAACTCACAAGCTGCTTCGTTCGTATTTGATCTCCTTCAGGGTTGTCCAGCTCGATCGCGTTCCTAAGACTAAGGTCGTCATCCAAAAGTCTCGAGAGATGGTAGGTGTAGTTTCCAGCCTCCCCGCCCCTCGCCTTGCCTGTTGAAGAACTCACCAACCACTAGCACGGCCCGATGACTCGCTGGGTAACAGAAAGGTATCCCAGTACACCGCCGCAGGATCTTTCAGCAGCTCTTTGTTTTGGCCACACTTCATAATGTCTCTAACGATCGCTGCTTGTCCTCGCAGACTTGTGCCGTCATTTGGCAAAACCGGAGCGTACTGGGCAATGCCCCTTAACAGTTTGATCTCGACTGCCATGCGGCGCGGCGCGGTTGTGTTGGGTGCTGCATTACCCCCTTCAAGCCATTGGTCCAGGGAAGCATACATGGTGTAGAGGTTGCTCCTGTGCAACGTATCGGCCATAGTGATGAGAAAGTTGGTGATGGGTCGGACACCTGACTTTTTTTTTCTCCACCTAGCTCTCCATCTCGTTCCTAAGACGATGATCGTCATCTGAAAGTCTCGCGAGATGGTCGGTCGGAATTCGAGTCCTCGCATCCGCCGCTTGGACTATGCAATGGCGGAGCCTTCACCATAGTAAACTGCTTCCAAACGACGAATGTTCCTAAGGTCAGATCACTGGTGGCCCTACTCGCCATGAAGATCGAACCGTTACACGGACTTGGTCCCAGGACGCTCAGTGAGAATTTCATTAATTTGACACGAGTGATCAACAGAGGCTTTGGCTCTGGATGTGACGGTTCATTCAGACATGATAACAAGACGGCGGAATACCGCCCTCAACCCCACAGACGCAGCTCCGTATCGCCACCTGCATATCTCCCACCTTTCACAGGATGCGTATCCAACAGGCCACTGATCTCCTGTATCTCGGATTCAGACATGACAACATTACCCGCCTCAAGATTCTCCTTCACACGAGTCGCTCTGACAGATCCGGGAATGGGTACCATATGGGGACCCAATGCGCACACCCATGCGAGGCAGAGTTGAGCGGCAGTGACATTCTTCTTCTCGGCGATAGACTGTTTTTGAATCAAGTGGACTTGAGCACATGGACGGCTAGGCAGTATCTAGAGTTACTCACCGACACGGCGTTTATAATCTTTTGATTTTGATCTAGCGCCTAAATGCAGAGGGAAACGGGTTAAGGAAACCAGTTGATTAGGGCGACCTATCAATTCTTGGCCGACTTACATCATCCTGAAGCCTAGACAAGTGTCCGCGCATATCACCTCCCTCAAGATCCGACTTCTTGAGCCCAACCAAGAAACCTCTTCCAAGGGGTCTATGCATTAGAGATTCTTAATTAGAAAATCCTTCGTGCATGCACATTAGTGCGCTTACGAATAGGCAGCAATGGGAATGCCGAGCTTTTGAGTGGTAGCGATGACCTTCTTTGTCTCTTCTTCATAGGACCAAGGCGACACTTCAATCTCCACGGCGGCCACTCCCACAATCTAAGTTTACCAACGCATTCGTTTAGGCTCGTATCAGCCGCCAGAAAGGGTAGGATTAGGAGGGACAGGGTAAAGATATCGCAGTCTCACACCTTGTTCGCTCTCTCAATTGTCGCTGCAGACACTTCGGACAATCCGATGTGATCGAATTTTCCCTCGTCGACCAACGTCTTGAGCGTCTTCATCGTATCTTCAACCGAAACATCAGTGTCCACCCTTGCGCACTCGAAGAGATCCATGCGCTTCTTTCCGTCGAGAGCAGCGTTGCATGCATCCACGCTGCGACGTAGGTTTTCGGGGCTTGCGTCAGGTGCTCGCTTCACGAATGATACGCCTCCCTAAGTTATAGTGCAAGCACCAATCAACTCATGAAGCTGGGAGAAATGAAAGGTGTGGTTAGGCTACACACCTTGACAGACAAGAACGTCTTGTCGGCCAGTTCTGGGTACTTGGTGAAGAACCTCGCAATGAGGCGAAGGTTGGCCTCATTCGGACCATAAAACTCTCCCGAATTAATGAAAAGCTTTTGGCCGGCGGGGACACAAGAGATAGCGGTCTTTATGGTTTCGAAGGCCTCTTCGTCTGGAGTGGGCGTGGGTTTGATCCATGCTGTCGAGCACACGTTGAGCAACATATAGTCAAGAGTAGTGTTATGCCAAAGCATCTAATCACTCATTCCCATCAATCCAAATCCGATCTTATAGACCTCGACGTGTGATGCAGTGCCGCCAAGACGAATGCTTTGGGGCTTGTTAGTCGTCATGACGATAGAAGAAATAAAGCGAGAGCGGATTATACTTGTGGAGAGAGAGTGATGAGCGTTTGTGAAGAACGAACCTGCATCGGGTTTATAGGCTTTTTATGCAGTCCAGGAAAAAGTGGAGGGCCGGTGGAGGTAGCTAAAATCCCGCTAGCCACACCTTCTGTCGGCCAGAAACCGAATGCATGCCGATGGGGTAACGTATGCGTCTCATGACTAGTAAGGGCCGCATCAGATCTACGTAATCTCTTTGGCTGAGGCTTAATCGATTGGGCGCCTCTTCAACATCAACCTCCCACATCAATGTTCTCCAAGAAGAGACCAGCTCGTGAGGATTGACCGGATACAAGCACAAGACTACAATACTTTCAAGCGCTCTCCATTCTCAAACGTAAAGGGCAGCTACGCATTCCTTTCCTCTTTTTGAAGCACCGCCAGCGCATCCCGAATCTCAACAGCTTCGCGCATGCCTGAGACACACGCACCATGCACACTAGCGAAATGATACGGCTCTGTATGCTCCCCAGCAAAGAAGAATCGTCCCCAAAGCGGGCGCGCAAGCTCACTGCAATCTAGAGGAGACCCTCCTCTCTCGGAAAAGGATGTCGCAGGCTGAACCCGTAGTCTTGAGGATACCTCGCCCTTATTCTTGATTGGCCAGAAGCTGTAGGATCCTTGAGAGAATGGGTCCGCTCGCCATCGCGTGATGACAGCCTCGCTCAGCGGCGGGGGCGTGGACCCGAGGCTAGGCCCAAGGTAGCGGTTCATCACGGCTTGGGCGTAGTCTGAGATGTCCTCATCCGGGCTTTCCTCCAATCAATCGCCGGCATCCCCGCTGAAGAACCAGACGAGTGCAGGCACCTTCGTCCATCTCGAGAGGTTGATGATGTACGCGGCCCTTGGTGGTGTCTCACCACCCGAGGAGATAGGGGGATTCGGGCCAGAAAGGTTATGTGGATGTCGCGGATCGGGTACAAAGGTGAAGCCGACTTCATCTGGCCACCAGGCATACGGTTACACAAGAACCACCTTGTTCAGAACCCCCATTCCCAGCGCGTGGATCGATTGGAGGCGTCGGGGAGGGACAGGTGGAGAGAATATTGGTGGACGACTCTTCAGGACGCCAAGAGGTATGGTGATAAGTATAGTATCGGCACGATATGGCTCTCGAATGAGATCAGTGGCTCCCGATCGACGCTTTGTGGTGATCTGCACATGTCTGCCTATGTTTCAATATGATTCCATATCAGCGGGCTTAAAGGAATGCGACTAGAGAAACGCACTCTCAGCGTCACCCACTATCTCCATATGTGTGACTTCTTCGCTCAGCCTCACTTCTCCGCCTGCTCTTTGGGTGTCTTCCGATAGCCACTTGACGACATGGTCATATCCAGCGGCCATGAAACCATCGCTGCCTTCAAACTCTCTCTCGAATCCAAAGAACTTGTAGGATACCTTTTCGAGAGACGCGCCTGTCCAGTGGTCTGTCGATTGTGTTATACTTTCTGCGTATAATCGAGCGTGCGGGAACACTGTTTCGTCGAGATCATCGTCAAGTGGGGATTCGGAATGGAAGATCGGCTCTGACAAGGGAGTTTCAAGCGATGGAATGGTTGATCCGACTTGCGCAGCTACTCATGCCTTGAAATACCGTGGAGAACACCTTTCATTCGAGAAAACGTCATCAGCCCTGGCTGCGCTAGCGGCCAATGAATGTGGCCTACTGATCACGTTGCGACGCAGCATTTTGGCTAGATCATCCGGGATAGCAGAGCCATCACAATCAAAGCATTTCGTGGTACTCATATCATAGGCTGGGAGCGGCTGGTTTCGGATCGAGAATTATGTGAGACACTCTGTTTCAATACTTCTTGAATATGGCGCACCAAGTTCAAATCCTTGACCAGACCTGCCATCGGGTTACCTATCATGCCGTGCACAAAGTTCGCTCCGATATCTGCAAAGACTCCAGATCGATTTGGTGATCTATATGTGTGCGTCCTTCCCCCAAGACGATCGCGAGCCTCGACAACCAAGACGTTCTGTCCATCCTGGAGGAGGTCCCTAGCTGCTTTCAGGCCGCTTATTCCGCCTCCGATAATGATGGCGTCGTAGTGGATCGTAGGCATTATAATGGGGAGAACTTCACTATCCTCGCCAGCTTCTTTGCTTCGACACGCACAGGTCGGCCGTGGTTTACCGGTGTTTACATGCCACCCTCAATGTGAGACCTTACATGTAGCTGGAGTAGCACCTAATAAATAAGTGTGTAAGATTCTGAGATGCAAACTGAGCAGCAATGGAGTGAAGTGGTTCGGCCTGAAGGTTGGGCGAACATATACTCAGTTTCAATCGAACGAGCCCTGAAAACCGGGTGTGTGTTGTGCCCAAATACACTTCAGATGCTACTATGGTTCAGAGCGACATCTGAAGGTCATAGCTCTTGAGTTGAAGCACCAGCGAGCAATTCTCAAGCAAGCACCCGTAGAGTACCTCGCTTTGTTGGCCCCACATACCAAGGTTTAGTATATAATGTAGTGAGACTCACAAGGCCCATCTTTTCCCACCCACCGATAGGCACATGAGAACCTCTCAAGAACACTTTAGCTATGTCATATATTGTAACTTTTTCGCTATTTCAACCAATTTGGTTAACGCACCGGGGGCTCGGTGGTTGAGCAGGGGATTGCAGCGCTGATGCTCCCATCCCAAGGTCACCGGTTCGACCCCGGTTCGGTGCTCTTTTAAACTAGCTAATCCAGCTCTTTTCATTTTGTCGGGAAAGTATTGGAAGATGTTGGGGAGATCATGGTAAAAATTGGTCAAGAATCTGTGGGAATGGAGGTTTGGCGCGATTTAAAAACATAATGGCATGCGCTGTGAAGATCGTCGTTCGGATCTGATCGATTGGAAGAACCCAGAATTGTGAGTGTGAGTCATAACGATTGTATTGGTGGGTAGCAGTAGAGCGAAAATTTGAACATTTGAACATAAAAATCTAACATGGTTGACCAGGTAGGCACCCCTCACTTCTCACCCCGATTCGGTTCTTTCGCGATTCATTTCTCACAATAAGTCGCGAAACCTTTGAAACTAGCTTCCTGGAAAATTTGAGAGAGGAAGCTTATGTATCTGAAGAGTTATCATTGGGCAACCGGGGTAGGGATTATCTGTTCCAAAAGTTGAACAAGCATTCAGAACCACCCCCAACTTGCTCCCCACTTGCCCCAATTCGAGACCTGCGTATCTGCTGGGGTGAACAAGTACCCAAAAATACCCAAACTAGAACAAGTAAACTTTACATTTGGCTGGATGCCCCTACATCTCCAGAAGTGCTTTTATAGCAGACTGGTGGCTTCTGTTGATTGCGAGACACGTTGCACAACCGCAGCTAGCCCAAACAAGCGAGTTTACCTTGGAAATCTCCCTGTAGATGAAAATACAATACAGGAAACATTAGTAGGGGTAAAAATGCACGGGCAGGAGCAGAGGAACCACCCATAGTGCCTGGACTTCGTTTAAGGTCTTGTCACGGCACCTGAACCACGTTACACCTCAATGATGTGAGTGCTAATTTCTGCACGGGCTTCATACCCACTTGGCACTAATCTGTATGGAGATGAAACAGGGTTCTGACCATAAAGCAAGGCTAGGGCAAGCACTGGGTATAAGGATAGTTCAACGCGCCAATGGGGTGCGAGTGATCAAGGCCCAAGGCGAAATGCACAATTATTATCCCAAACCAACATTTCTAATTTCAGTAAGGAGGTCACAGACAAAGAAAAGTCAAAACGGGTTATAAGCATCAAGCTTTTAACATATTCAAATCAATGTTTCCAGCCTTTAGTCCATGTCAGCCCATTGCACCATACAGCGCACTGGACGACGCCGGGTCCTTCCTCATCCTCCAAGCCCAATATTCATCCCAACTGGCCTCGGCCCTCTTTGATTCGTAAGTCCGCATCTTCACACTCCGTCTAATCTCCTCTGTGATCTTGCCATCCCATCCAGCCTTTCGAATGGCGCTGTCTACCGCCTCTATCTTGGTCCAACCCTGCGCTGGGGCTACGTCTGGCAAGTACGTTGCTGTGAGTGACTCCTTGATGCGCGATGCACGGCTCCTTCGCGTTGGTACGAGATTCGGGTTGGATGACGATGGCGTCGTATCTCCAGAAGATGACGGCATGATGGACAAGGTCGCTGGATGCGGGAACGTTATGTATATACCATGTTGCCCAACGTTCCAATCGAGATAGGTTGGGACATCCTGGAAGTCTGTTAGGAGAGACACGCTGAAAAAAGACAAGATGGATGGTTCATGTTAGGACAAGGCATTCTTACTCGGCAACCCACATACGAGGATCCGCGATGGATACGTCGTATGTATAAGGGGATTTCTTTACCCGCATTCCAACTTGCTAAGTTCGTGAGATTGAATGGGCCGGAACCGACTATCATTGAGGGCACTGCATGTTTAGAGTGGTTGGTCAAACAAAGGCATCATGAGCGCCCAGTGACAATGAACTCAATCGTAACACTCCTCACCTGATAAGAGCATACTCCTGCAACCCATTCTTCATATCCATGGCCTGAAAGCTACCTATACATCCTCGTAGTCTCGCACTTGACGATCTTGTATTATAGATGTTCCATGTCACAAAAAGGGGGTACTTTCCATCTGGCAAGTTGACTGGAATCGCTTTAGCTGATGGGTTCAGGTTACAATACAAGGCGTCGAACGCATAAAAGCAGTGTTCCTGCGTACACTCGTCCGACATCAAGGGGTTGGAAGAGAACGGACGGAGGGCACACGGCGGATGATGGCGGGTGTGAGAAAACCGGTGACGCACTAGGTTGATCGCCGGACTGCGGTAACCTCGAACAACAGGCAACACTGCGCGGAGCTAAACATTATGAGGAAGGAGTCGCCATGCCAAGCATCCATATGAGCACAAGTCTCATCTCCTGATATCAATTTCAGCTAGGGACACTAGCAACGCGTTTCATCGGAGGCAGAGCTCTCATCTCTCCTGGCCGCTCTTGCTGAGTCGAATCCTCTTCCAACCCCTTCTCCCACATCAAATCAATCCTAAAATCCCTCCTAACCTTTTTCCAAGTCCATGTGTCTTTCACATCCTCCCACTCATCGCCGCACACGGCTAACCGATCCCTAACGAGCTTCTGCCACACCCCTCGAAGCAGTTCCCGGTTCGACAAGGGATTATCTCCCAAGCCTGCATTAGTGAATGCCATGAGGATGTCGCGAACGAAGGAGACGGACGGAAGGCGGCGAGCGGCGGCAAAGGGGTGACTGGAGCTGAGGTGCATATAAGTGTGGAAAACGTAGAGGAGAGGATCGAGCGCGAATAAGCGCTGGAGGTGATTATTGGGCTCGGGTGATGCAGTAGTGGGTGAGAAGGCGGGGGATGTAGATTGAGACGAGTGCGAGATACCGGACTGAACAGCCATGGATGTCGCTTCCCTCAGCGACATGAGATGTGTTAAATCTCGCCGAGTACCACCGGAAGACGCTGATTTCCCGTGCCTAGCGAAGGCTTTGAAAAGGCCCCGAAAGGCGCTCATGAGCTGGGCCTCTGCAGAGTCCTCCAAAACGTCGCAAGAATACAACAAGCACGATCTTTCATCTTCTTCCACCACCACCTCGCCTCTTCCTCCCGTCGTCTCGCTTTCTTGACGTTTGAATAGGCTCAGAAGGTTTTGTAGCACTCGTAGGGCGTTCTCAAGATCACCTTGATATGCGTATTGCTGGATCATCATGACGTGCGTCCTATGGTCGGGTACTACGTGTAGAAGCTGTCGAACCACCCTCTTCATGCCGAGGATGGGGTTATGGAGAAAATGGGATCTATTGGCGTTCGGGAGGGGTGATTTGGGATCACGCGCCACAAGAGCCCAATATCGGTCGTTCTCCAGAAGTAAGTCGTAGATCTCCTTGGCTGTAGCCATGCCATCCGGATGCTGTTCTCCATCGCCGCTTTGCCGTTGCTTGGCGTAGGCCCAAATAATCGTGTTTACGCCGTGGATTCCAATGTCGAGTTTCGCATCTAGCATCTGTTTCACCAGTGCAGGGATCCGGCGTATCCTCTGCGTGCGTTGGTACCAGACGATCAGGGATATGTAAGTGTATCGATCGGCCTTTACCCGAGGTCTGTAGAGCCTCCATCGTAAATGAGCGTCTCGAACGAGTTCTAAGTTGTCTGTGTGACACGCAATGCTGATGAGGATATTGAATGTAGTCATTGTAGGAAGGACTTCGATGATAGCCGTTGAACGTGGGCGTTTCCCCGTTCGATCCTTCAACTGCGTTACCACTACTCCGCTCTGACTTGTAGAAATAGCTTCCTTCCGCCACTCTTCTAAAACTGCGACAGCGGATTGATAATCCGCGGTGGTCGTCTTCCTGAACCCCTTCGCTGCTGCAAATATCAACGAGTTCCACTCCCACTCCCGAACTGAACCGGGACCGCGGTGACGGAGGACTTGAACGATATCGTAGAGACGGTCGTAAGTTGCTCTGGTGGTGATATGAGTATGATTTGCGAGGAGATCGAAGAGCGCGTGGAGTTGGTGAGTTGGAATCGCTCTCAGCGTGTCTTGGTGTGCGCGAAGTTCCCGAAAGGCCATCCAAGCCCGTTCGACTACCTGTTCTTCGAGAGCGCGAGTGAGGGGGATAACACGATCTCGTAGATGCTGTTTGATCCTCGGCTTTCGAGGAAATTTGGCGAAGCTGCGATTCTGGACATGCTTGGAAGGGCCACCTTGTTCGGCCCTTCCGTTTAGAGTGGCGTTGGGTACATACGAAGCATGGTCTTTCCTGCCAGCAGTTATCTTCTCTGAGGCCAGTTTTGATGCTGGAACCAAGGCCGGGGTCGCTTGACTGGATGTTCCTCCCGGAGACTTCCGGCCCTCGCCTGATCCGTCGACAAGGGACCTGTTCGGTGAAGGGGAAGAGAGCTCGACCGGCCGAAGAACGTATTCCGGAGTCCTTCCAAACCGATTGGCTGCCTGAAGGTTTTGATTGAAGATGTTCAAGCTTTCTCCGTCGAGATAGTCCACTTTTTCCGAATCCGTTTTGCGTCGCATGACACACGCTGCAGCCGAAGAGTAGCGATGGATAGTGAGAGGACAATGGTGACTCGCAATGCATGGATGTTGCGGCTGGTGTTGAAGGACTTTCAGAGCAGATGATGAGGCTCTGCGCATGAAGTATGCGCCCGTCGCGCTGCCAAGTTCGAATTCGAGATCAGCGTTCACATCCAACAATTCAACGCGATCATATCTTGCTTACCATTCGCGTCTGATGAGCTGCGTTCCGACTGATAGTCTACCCGTCGGATATGAGTGATCAGACTAAGGCAAGAAGCATTCAAACTCGGCCGGAGGCTGGGAATGAAGCAAATATTGGGTCAGAATTGAAACGGACCGAAGGCGACGGAGAACTCTGTGTATTATCACACTGGTAAAACTCCGTTCTTTTCCAAACCCCGGGACTCCCCGCCGCTCCTAGGTGGGTCAAATGAGAGCTATGGTGAGTATTTTAAATTTTGGAAAAGGCACAGATATATTCTTGCGGACGTGAGACCTCGATGGTGTGAATTAAGCCAGTGAGGAACGTATGTGGTGTATCATGTAAGTTCGAACCGCAATTATAGAACTCGGTCAGGTCACATCGTAATCAGGTTCACCGCCAGACCTACTCCCCAGCCTTGTCATCCCTGCAACTGGCCAAAATTTGGTGGACGGATATGCACTTAAAATTGACCAGCGTCACTGTTCGACAACGGCACAAACGCCGATGCAAACCCTCACCTGGGAATGAGGCTCAGTCCCCTGTCGAGCGACAACAGCTGGTCAAATGAGGTATCTCCCAGTCATGGCAAGAAGCCGAAGCTTCGACGTAGGCCAAAGACACGCCTCGAGAGCATGCGTCGGGTCGCAACCGAATGCACTCCAGGCCTTTCTCTATAAATAGAGGGACAGCACAGAGATAACACTCGACCGCATCGCTGTGCAGGTGAACGCTGCCGGACCAATGGTCAGCCACCCCACGAAGCCCCACGACTGCCAGAACCTCCGATTCCGCCCGAGATGTCGATCGACAGATGGCTCGAGTGGAACCCAGCACTAAGAAGGGACCGGTGTCACCGCTCGACGAGATGCAAAGGAAGATGGACACGCTCAGTTTACGACACGTCGCACACCTCGGTGGTCAACACCTAACTCCCGGACGTTATCTCCATTGTGGCATGAAGCCGAAGCTTCGACTTGACACAGACCTTGCCCTCCCAAGGAGTCAACAAGCTGGAACGCGGCTTTATCGACCGGGCCCTCTTGGGCTGAGAACCAGCCCGCGCCTACAAGTCGCCCGTGTACCGCTGCCGGACCAATGGCGCATCTCACGGAGCTCCACAACTTCAAGAACGTCCGTCCAGGATGCCACTCGGGGCACAACGTTCGATCCATCCTACAATACAGCGTCGTCAGCGATGAGAAGTCGGGTGAATAGATAAACTCACCTTTGAGGCGTTGCAAAGAAACCCTTTCTCGGCTACATCCAGTACTGCATATGAGTGACAGAAGTGCAACGTGGCGGAATTAAGTGGCGAGAGGGAGAGGGAGTGACGGGGGAGTGAGAGAGAGGGGAAAGGGAGGGAGAGCGATGCAGTGCGTCGGAAGCGCGAGGCCATTATATATAGACCTAGTGCATGCAAAGGGGGTGAAAAAACTGTAGGAAAAAACTGAATTGAAGGTCGTCTCAACTGAAAGCGATGTGTTTTGTTCCGGTGTTTCTTTCTTTTTTTCGCTCGTATTTAAGTGGTTCCGTGTCGGTGCACTGTAACGACCTGGACTGTCGACTTACCTTCGTCATAGCCTTTCCAGCAAAAGCACTACTTTATATCATCCTTGAGACCTCGATTTGTCGATTTGTTGTCTTTCCGAAAACGACAGGGGAACTGATCCGATCGATGGCTTCTAGGTCCAAGCGCCGTAAGTGGAGCTACATGAACTGCGGATCACCCTTTACACAGCCTTTGACTCGATATCCCAGGTCGCAACAAGCCCCTCTTACCTGTGAGTGAAGGGGAGCAGAGCTAATCGATTTTCAGCACTGGAGCGCAAGAGACGCCAGAAACAACAGCAGTTCTGTCTTCTGGAAGTGAGTGATATTTTGGGGATCTTGGACTTATAATCTGTAATTCTCGCGCAATGGCTGAACAGCACGCTCAAACTCTTATTAGCTAAGGATGCCACGGATACAGACGAGACCTGCGACATCCCAGCGCAGACTCCAGTAAGTTCCTGTACTCCTCCTGGTCAAACTTCTGACCTAATGCTAGGATCCTACTCTCCTTTCAAAGCCTACTGACGATGATCAATACCATCTCAAGGCCAACGAGCGCATTCAAACGCCTGTGACTGCCGGTACGCGAGATTCAAGTACAGGTACGCTCAGGATCCACTCCGATGCATCTCAGACCCTGAACACGTGTTTCTCTTCTCTACCACAATTGCCCTACTAGGTGAGCTTTCTGGAACCCTCATGGATTGATCTGTGCTCGGTGCGTTAATAATGCAGCATTATGCGTAGACCCCGAAGTCGTTTTTGATTAGCGCCTCCGGGGTTGCGGCCTTGGCTGAAATCACTCTCGATTGTCTTTCAACACGCAAGACAGTCGCTGCCGCAAATGGGGATATTACTCCAGTTAATGGGCCCAATATCGTGCGTATCCTAGAATCCACATCATATTATTTGCGTTGACTTACGACCGTATTGTCTTTATAGATCGTCGTCCCAACCTTTCGCCAAACATATCAAGTCATTGAGGAACTTGCGAGCACCCCATCGTCCAGAATCTTCAAGGTCCAGGACAGAACGACCCTGGAGATCCTTGCATGCAAAGTAATCGATGGAACTACACCGCCTGATCTCGCTCATGGCTCCGAGCAAGGGTTGAAGAATCAGATCGCCAGACTTGAGGCGGCCGAGAGAGAGTTGGATATCTGGCGGAGCGTGGACCATCCGCATATCGTCCAGCTTATTCGGTGGTACAAAGAAGACTCCTATATATGTGAGTCTCCGCCTTGCGTCTCGAGCAGAGTTTCGTGGCTATCGTCACTCATGCTGTTCGGGTTCGACCTCTTTTATTTTAGTTATGGTGATGACGCTTGCGACCAGCGACTTGGTGCCTCTTTGCAACAAGTCCATGACACCAGCAAGAGCTCAAAAGATCACTACCCAAGTTATCGATCCATTGATCGTGAGTGAGAGTGGTTCAAACTAACACCGGCTTTCGTTATCTCACATGAGACGTGCAGTATTTGCATGATGAAGGCATTACGCACAAGGATATCAAACCCGATAATATCCTTGTTTTCGACAAGGCCATACCAGAAGTCCTGGTTCCTGATTCCGGTATCGCAGAATATGCCCTCACCAATCAGGTACGTTGCAGACTTGCCCTAATTCCTCGGCCCTCATGGTTTCCGCTTATAGTCAAAAGCTGGCTCCTACTACTTTATTGCTCTAGAAGTCATAACGTGTCGAGGAGGCGAGTTCCACAACTCTCGAGTTGATGTATGGTCTCTGGGTGTGGCCATTTGGCATATGCAAGCATGACCGGCCACCTTTAGCATACGAGGCCTTGAACTTCATTCCCCAATTCCAATCAGGTTTTCCAAAGTCTGCTGCTTCTACCCTCCTGAGCGGGATGACCCGACACTGGCGACAGTCGTGCAACTGGAGAATCGCAAGCGTCTTCGTGTCAATTGGCCAGCTATCATTGACGATGCACCGACTGAAGGCGAGGCTGCGATTGGCCCTGTTCGGCTGTATACTCAGATCGACGCTCTTTTAACGCCTCGATATTGCAGTGGTGGACTTGTTGAGGAAGATGTTGGTTGTGAACCCAGCTCTAAGGTGGACCGCTCGTCAAGTTCGACACCACGCGTGGCTACGTGACATACCGTCTCGTCCTCCGGTCGAAGTGGCAGTTGCAGACGCAAACACCATTGCACCATTTGACACTGAGCATGAGAATTTGTCGGGGAGCAAGGCCGGAGTCAAGGATAATGGTGCATTTTCTTTGGCACGTCCGTGCATTCCTTGACCCGCAGTGTATTGATATACTGCTTTCAGCTTTCAAAGCGCAGGCACCTACTCAACAGGCCGTCTGTTCAATAGCGGATGCTACGCCAATGTCCGATCGGAGGACGAAACGCAAAGGTGACCACGAAACCTTTGGTACATCAAAGCCATATGCCACCAAAGTCTCAAGGCGCACCATCGAAAAGGCGCGCAAGATGAAAACGAAGGTGTCAGCTGAGTCAAAGGTTGTTCGTGAGAGCGCTGCCATAACACCCCGTACAGAACCAACTCGAGCAGTTAAGCTGAAGTGATAGGGGTTAATGCAATTGATTATCATTATGCACAACTGGGCTTGAACGGATGTGGGACAAGCCTGCATGTATCTGAAGATGATAATTTTATGCTTGAGTGAGCAAGTATCTGGTCTTCATGGTGTAGTGGTTATCACGTGTCCTTCACAGTACAATTCTAGTGTTGGCTGATGATGTCCGGACAAGGTCTCCGGTTCGACCCCGGATGAGGACATCTTTTTCGTTGCCAACGACTTGCAACTGTGCTGAGATTGATTATTTTGCACCGGGTACGGCTTTGAGTCACCTTTATACCAAGCCCCCCCCTCCCCCTTCAGTTGTATACTGATATATTACTACCTCTGCATGGCTTGCTCCCTTCACTCTCACTCGGCGAGCTAGGAACTCACCTTCGAATGAGGAACAACAAATACATAGGAGTCATCAAACAAAGATCTGTCGAGAGGAAGCAATCTACATCTACGAGGCAGAGTATGCGATACGGGAGGAAACGTCATGTATACGTCGAGAACAGGAAGCGGATTGAGTCTTCATCCCCATTTCTTCATACAGCGCCTTTGCTTCTGAGTAACTCGTCCGTGCCTCATGGTATCGGTGCTTGACTCGGTGTAGGCCTCCAATGCCCCACATACAATTCGCCATACCAACTCGATCTCCCAGATTCTGGTACACTTGGGACGCCGCCTCGTATACTTCTAGTGCATCTGTAAACCGACCTTGCGCCCGGTGAACGTGTGCAATGCCTAACATGCAATTCGCCATCCCACGTCGATCCCCAACCTCCTGGTATGCTCGGGAAGCCAGTTCGTATTCCTCTTGCGCCTCGTCCTGTCGCCCTTGCAGCCTGTAGACGTCTCCAATACCCCACAGGCAATTTGCCATGCCAAGCCGATCTCCCAACTCATGAAACACGTCGGATGCGGTTTTGTATGTTTGGCGAGCCTCGTCATACCGGCCTTGCAGCCTGTGGACTTCTCCGATTCCCTTGAGACAACCCGCCATACCGAGGCGATCTCCCACTTCCTGATATCCTCGGGACGCCTTCCCGTAGGATTCGCGCGCCTCGTCATATCGATCTTGTAGCCAGTGGACATCCCCGATGCCTTTCAGGCAGTTCGCCGTCCCAAGAGAATCCTCTAGCTCCTGATATGCTCGGGAAGCCTTCTTATACGCTATCCGTGCTTCGTCGTATCGTCCTTGTAGCAAATGGGAGTCGCCGATTCCCTCCAGACAGTTCGCAACCCCGAGTCGATTTCCCAGTTCTTGATATGCTCGGGACGATTTTTCATATGCCGTCCGTGCTTCCGTGTACAGACCTTGCTTCTGATGGCTATCTCCGATGGCTTTCAGACTGGTAGCGTCTTCCAACCTGGTGAGACGTGGCGAGGGTGTCCTAGTGTGATTCGATGTTGCTCGTCGCGGCGCCACGGGGGTGGCGTGCAAGCTTGGCGCTTCGGTAGAGGCCTTGGTTGGCTTGGCTGAGATGCTAGGCCCAGGAATGATCCCATGAACTAATGACGAGTTGCTCGTTAGCCAGCTCGGAGGGTAACGCGGCTTTTGACTATATTCCAAAACCTAATCAATAATATCAACTTAGTCATCTTCTTCGTCAGGAGAAAATGGCACCTCACATGACTATTTTGGAAATCCTGGTCATAGAGGTCCATAGGAGCATGCCGCTCGCCATTCCGTGTTCTCGCCTCGGGTTTTTGGGTGCTGGGATGTGGTATATCCTTTTCGGGTGTAGGCGGACCAGATGACAGAGAAAGATGGGGTGAGGTGCGCTGCACTGCAGGGAGCTTACTCTCCATAGCTCTCGGTTGTCGCTTCGTAGATTTATGTTGCTCCTGGATTCAATAAACTCATTTTAGACGGATTTGCGCGTTTCAAGAGGCAAAATCCGTTGCTACCCACCGCAGCCTGTTGTACCGTTGCCTGATCAGATATAATATCCGAGTCCTATCAAATACGATTGTAAGAGGCCACATCATGATATAGGCCACTGGGAAATTACCCACAATTTCCAACGCAGCCAATAACGGGGCTCTTTTGATAGTGTCTCCGATGCTGCGAGAGGACGGTCGCTGAGCTGGATCAGAGTGCCAGCAGGATGTCGCAAGTATCCAGATATCCCTGAACGACTTGCCATTACGAGAGACTGGCTCTGTTGGTGGACGTTGGCCCGTCATAATCGCGTAGATAACCGAGCCAGGGTTGACGAGATCCGGGAATGGCAATCGGCCAGTAAGAATCTTTTATGAAAAGGCGGGCTTCAAATTTATATGGAAATTTAAGTGGGGATAAGTTTTGTCGACCTACCTCTGTGATGGTCATTCCGAGGGCATATATGTCGCTTTCTCGACTCCGCGGGGAGTTATTGAGCAACTCCGGACTCATCCACCGCGTTGATCCAGCTCCTTTCATAGCATTGGACGTTGCGCTGAGTCCATCAAGGACTTTTGTCAATCCGAAGTCAGACAACGCTGGTCTGCCGACTCGTCAGCAAGCCGCGCCAATAATAATGGGAATAATCAACTTCTCACCTAATCTCCGCATCAAGCAGGACATTGGCGGCTTTGATATCTCCGTGGATAACGGAGTGATCATGTAGGTATGCAAGGCCAGAGGCTATACCTGCAATCTAAGGTTGCTCGTTTTAAATAACGAAAGATTAGAAGATAAAAATGAATGAATCGTGCACTCACTATCTTCTCTTCATCGAACTTCTCAAACGCGGCTCGAGAGGGATGAGCCGACCGTTCGCCTTCCGGAAGCTCTAGGAAGCGTAGGCGTTCGGGGACGAATCTCGCGAGATCACCGTGGTCCAGCCAAGGTGATACTAGGTACGTTTCATCCGCAATGTCTACGACTCCTAGGAACGGCACGACGTTGACATGATATAGCAAAGTAGACCATATTTTGCCCTCCCTCCTGAATCTCTGACGAAATGAACACGATCAGAAGAAGCAGTGTTAGATCTGGATGTACCATAAGGTGCTCACTCGCTTCGTGTCTTCGGCCTCCTGAGATGACTGTATGGAGAACCGGGGTCGTTTGAGCGCAAGCTGGAGTCCTGTCCTTTTATAGGTCCCTCTGTACAAATCACAAGAGCCTCCGCCGCCAACTGATTTGAAAGGCTTGGCTATGCGGATGACGTCTGGGTTCGTGAATAAGCGCTGGACGCAGTCGTGCCAATCCATCGTTGCCTATGTATCGATGACCTAATTCATAAGCAAACCACCTAGTGTGTAGAGGCAACATCTGTACGTACCGGGCTCATCTGTGTCATCTCAGTTCACGCCACACTCCAAATAATAGTGACTTGGAAACTTTCTGAGTTATGGGCTTAGTTGAAGAGCTCGGGGCGGAGAGTATGAGGGAAGAATAGTAGCCCAAGTTGGGGAGTGGTTGAAAATCAATATGAAGCTGGTGGTGCCAACAAACAGGTCAGTCCAGAAATGCATCCTTGAGTGACGTGCTTGCGTGCAGGACAAGCTTCCGAGCACTAGCGAAGGACCAGAAGATCGGTGGCGGAGAAGAAAACAACGGATCGATTATCGGATATTACGCGGAGCAAGTGCTTTCCCGGGGTCCGATCGAATCGCTCGAGATGGCCACTAAACCTTCGCTGAACTCTAACCTTGGAGCCCCTTGCACACATGGGAGGCCAGCTGTTATTCGGATACTTGTCACAACCCTATTGGATGATTCTGATCTGGGGTTGCAAAGCTGAAAGGGCATGTGTTGGATTTCTCTTGGAAAACCTCCCAGTAGACTAACTCAGGTTGGGGAATCACGTGTTGACCTGGCATACTCCGGCGCTAAGAAACAGGGTTTGCTACTGTTGGAGTGATGTTGAAGACGATGGGGAGGAAGTCTCTGGTCGAAGAAACAGACATGATAAGCTGCAAGTTTGAGGATATCGTTCTGAGAAAAGTCGTCTATAGTGTTGCAAACCGCTTATGGCACACCCGAGTGTACCTGGGTACAGTGTCAAGTTCACTTACTTCTCAATAGCATGTTCCTGCCTCTCTCATTCAAGGCCCCTCCTTCCAAGGTCCATGTCCATGACTTCTCAACTAAGAAGGTCGTAGAAGGAGAATCTTATCAGCCGCACGAAATTTCGAAGGCCCAAAACGCGATAATAAAACATTCACTCACGAGGGCAATGCCGGCAATCTGACTGAGTGAACCAAATATGTTAGGAAACCGCATACTTACACTCATTTTAAAGGCGTCCCGTAGCTGTTCACAGCCTACGCCAATATAGATTAGCATTGGGTCACTTTATTATCTTACACAACCTCGAAATAACCTCCTCACTCGGCAGTATCTCAACCTTCTGCCCGTACCAGCCGGATGTGCAGGATATTCGTCGATACATGAACACATTGAGAGCCCAACGATTCGAGGGCAACTGCCTTTCTACAATATGGTCAGATAATTGAGAGCGTCAATCCCTAGTTCCAACACATCTCTTGCCTATGTCAACCGCTCGCGGTCACCCTTAACGACAGGGAACAAGTACACCTAGTTACAATCGCGAAGCTCAACGAGCTAACCCCATGAATAATGCCGTGATACGGGCGTTATAGACAAAGGCTTATGTATTTGTTCCTTCAGGGATGTTCAGGGTCTCCGCTGCACAATGCATTCTGAACAATGAACCCGTCGACTGCACCAAAGGACCCACTACACTCATCAGGTCTAAGGGGATCTATGTATATAAGAGCGTGGGGGAAAGGTGGAACGAGACCTCTATCCCCTCTCTTTCCTATCTTTCACGACCTTTTCTTTCCTTCTCCCGGTTTCCAGTCCTGTCCTTGACCTTCACTCCCTCTCATTGACAGTGCTGGACACTTGACTCTTCAACCAACCATATCCATACACTCTCACTAACTCTCCCTTCAATTACATTCACGATCATGCTTACTCCTAAAGGCTACCTCTTCCTTTCCCTCAATGCCGTCCGAACCCTATCTATAATTGCCCTGCTGCTGGTATTCAGCTCTAATATTTTCATCCTTGTCGAGTGAGTCCTCTCATCCACGAGTCGCTTTCACTCTTAACTTACTAGTCTTAAACATTGAATAGAGACATCAAGGCTGTGAAGGCCGGGTCGTCGACGCTGACCAGCACAAACTCCAGTGGCCAGACAGAGACCTTTGAGTGCGATTACTTCGACAACTCCACAGTCCCAAATCGTGCGTCTGA